AAAGACCTGGATCTAACTCGTATAAAAGAGGTTGCGCTCCTGCCATGATCCTTGAGAACGGAACCGAACCGAAGCCCCGGGCCGCCGCCCTGCCCCGCCCCTACCACACGCACGAGACACACGGGACACCTGCACATCCACCAACGCCAGAGGGAAACAGCTCCTAAGCGCCCCGCCGCCGGCCGCGCTCCGCAGGCGAGGAACACGCCGCGCTTCCCACAAGGAGAAGCGACGCGGCCCCTCGGCGCTGCCGTGGGAAGCGGCTGCGGGCCGGGAAGCGGCTCCAAAGCAGGAAGCGGCTCCAGACTGGAAAGCGGCTCCGGGCCCCCACTCACCTGCAGGCGCAGCCCCGCGGCGCCGCTTCCAGACCCTGCCGGTGCCCGGAGCGCCCCAGGAGACTCCGTTAGGCCGGGCTGGGAGCCCTCGGAGCGAGGCCCCGGAGGCCTGTCCCTCGCCTGAGCCTTTCCCAGGGAATATTGCTTTAACGTTGGGAACAGGCTCGGATTCTTCCGGCGCGCGCCGCTCCAGGGGGAAACCCCAGGGCCGAGCGGGCTGGGCTCGGACCAGCGTCCGCCTCGCGCTGCACTCGGGCTGCTCAGAGGTTGTAGACAAAATAAAAAAGCAGTATTGTATCTATGTATACATGTATATATTTATATAAGATATATACACACACACACTCATATATAGCCAGCTTTCCTACAAGTCAGCAGGTACAAATTACTGTTGAGAGCACTCTGATGTGTATTTTATTAATGTTCTACCAATGTAAAAACATAATGGCAACCGTGACACGCATCAATAAATAGAGATCAAGAAAGCAGGAGGTTAAAAAAAAAAGATGAAATTAAATACAGGTTCTAGCTGCGGATTTAAAATTAGAGCTATCGGAGACTGTGGCATCCTGCAAGTTCAAACTGCAGTTAAAAAAAAAAAAATTATTACAAAAGAAACCAGTAGACTGTTACAGTTCACATTATAGATCCTGGTGTCCTTTTCCTGCCTGCACCTCGGGAGAAGGAAGCCCGGGGGAGGTGGGAAAGCGGGAAAAGGCCCGCGGTGGCAGCCGCTTTCCCCGGTGTCCCCGGGGAGCTCGGCCGCCCGGTGCCGCACGCGGGGCTGGAGCTGGAGCAGGAGGCGGCATTCCCAGTGTCCCGGGCTCCTGTGGCACCGGCGGCTCCGCTCCCCCTTGCCTGCGTGGGCACCGTGTCCCGCGGCGCCCCACGGAGCGCCCCGGGCCCGGCTTCCCCCCTAACGGAGCTGCGAGTTTCTTCACTGCTAGCACTGATTTTGGGGTGATTTTTTTGAATTTTTGTTTCTTTTTCGGAAATGAAAGTCTTCCACTAGCGGTTCAAGCCTTAGACACACGGTTAACCCCCCGCCCTGCTCCCGCCCTCCCGCCCTCCCCAGGCAACCTATTTTTCCTACCACGTCGCCCTCCGCCCTTACCGAGCCCGGGCAGTTCTCCGGACATCCTAGGACACGGATTCGCTTACGAGGAACGCTGAGCTCTGCCGAATGACCCCTGCTAAGCTCCCGACCAAATTCAAGCTGTGCACTACGTCAAAGTCTGAAACTTCACTTAAAAAGAAAAATACAAGAAGAGGTTAAAAAAAAGAAAAAAGAAAAAAAACTTCAGCAGAGAATGAGGTTTTGGGGGTGGGTATTTTGTTTTGCGCCTTTTTTTTTTTTTTCCTTTTCCTTTTTCCTTCCTTCTTGCGGCTGCGGAGGGGGCATGAGGCCAGAGTCCGGGTTGTGAAGCACACGAGGGCCAACTTGCAGCGCGCCCGGATTGTCGGGGGAGACACACTGGTGTCCGTATTGCTCCGCGGCCCCGCGCCCCCCGCCGCGGCCCCTGCCCCGGACACCCTGCGGAGTGAGGATACAATGAAACGGGTTTGTATTTATAGCTATTTTACAAGGTTAAATAAGAACAACAATAATAATAATAAAAAATTGAACACTAAAATGAACAGGTTGGTTGGTTGGTTGGTTTTTTCTTTTTTTTTTTTTCTTTTTTTTTTTTTTTTTCCTCCTCTTTTTTTCATTTTCTTTCCAAATGTGACCAGTGTTGCTGAGCAAGACTCAAAATTACTGGTGGTGTTTCCTGTGCCGCTGGCTGCTTGGTACCGGTTCAGGTGGAGTTGGAGGCTGACGCTGTAGCTACACTATTGGTCTGAACTCGCTCTCCCGCGGGAACATCTGCGAACGACAGGCAAGGGCAAGGGAGAGAAGCAGCGTTACCTCCGCGGCACGTTCCCTTCCCTTCCCGCCGGGAAAACCCGCCCCCGCCGCCACACACGTCCCCAATTCCCCAGGGGCAGCGGGAAGGAGGCGGCCTGGCGGGAGGGCCCCCCTGGAATGCGCGGTGCTCCGAGCACATGTCCTGGGAAAGGCAGAGCGACATGCGGGCCAGCTCATCCCGGACAATGGAGCTTCTCCCGAGAAGTCCTCCTTCCTTAACGCTGGAATTGCTGACGGGGAAGAGGGGCACTGATTTTGTCAGGAGCCTCCCTACAGAGCAGCTGATTAAGGCAGAGACCAGTTCTTAGAAATTCCCCTTAGAAAGGGGGGTATTTCCTGGCGTTGAGCCGGGGCAGGGCTCCTCATCCTCCTGCAAATCCACCCTCTGCTCTCCAGCCAAGATGGGCCGACCACCCTGGGAAGCAGGGCCAGGAGCCAGAGGCGGCGGATGAATGGAGAGGCCAGGAACGGGCAGCGCTGGGTGCGCTACGGGGCGGGCAACACGCAGGGCCAACCCAGAAAGGCAACAGGAAGCACATCCCAAAGGCACTCGAGCAAGGAGCAGCACCGGGACCAGCAGGGACAAGCGGGAACGCCGGGACGCTGCCTCCTTGCTAAGGGAAGGCCGCGAGCGGCGGGTGGGAGGAAGGGAGTAGCTGCCGTGCGCAGAGAATGCCAGATGCCTGTCCTGGGATGGAGCTTCCCATTCCCGTCCCGCCTCGCCCCACAGGAACCTCAAGCCCCCCACGGCAGCCCACACTGCAGTATCCCCAGGCCGTGCAGCCGAAGCGCCGGCCGCCCCACGGCGCTCCGGGAAACTGCCTTGCGCTCTCCCAGCCGGAGCTGCTCGGAAGCAGCTATTCCCCAACCACAGCCCGGCCGCATCCCTCGGAGCTCCCACGCACCCCTCTCTCCTTGCGCCCATTCCCATGGGTCTGGGGCAGGGAGGAGCGCTGGGGGGCAGCGCAACATCCGCACACCCGACATGGGGTCCCGGGAACCGGACGCTCCGCAGGGTCAGAAGGGAATTAAGGGGGGACGCAGCCCCAGACCAGCACATGGGGCTTTCGCATCAACACGGAGAAGTCCACGCTGCCAGTGGGCCATTTAGGGAGCAAAACAGGGACTTGGTTCCAGTGCTTCCTTGCCTATGTGCTGGAAAAGGAGCCCAGCTGGAACATCAGTGTGGATCAAGCACACAGGGGGAATATCACAGTGCCTGGACATCTGGCTACTCCTTCCCACCATGAGGAATTGCTACTTGGGCACGAGAGAAGAAAGCCCAGGGTCTTGCTAAAATATCTGCTCCAGCTCCGCTTCTCCTCCGCTTCCCTCCGGGATACCTTGGGAACCCCCCGGAAACGAAAGAGGAGCCTTTTGGGCTTTGTTTGGCGGATGTCACCTCAGCCTAGGAAGGGCCGTTCCCGCCGGCTGCTGACGGACTGCAGCGCCCAGCTGCAAGGGCTGAACTGAACTGAAGTCTTCCAAGATTCTTTCCATGGGAATATCGCCTACGGGAGTGGCTGGGAATGGGAAATCGTCGGGAAAATGAGATGCACATCCCTAACGCCATCTTGGATATTGGGCATATCCAGGGACTTGGTAAGAGCTGGGAAACCTGGAAAAGCCCAGCTGATTCCGAACCCACCGAAACAAGCTGGACCCGGCCCTGACAGGCAACGCGGGCCGGTTCTAACCCACGACGTACACAAGGGGCCAGCATCATTGCAGTGGCCTTTTCAGAAAGCCCTTTAAACAGAAAGAAAACGGAAAAAACCCATCTCTTGGAAGCCACAAAGAAGAAAGTCGTGTCTCTTGGCACCAGGCTTCACGTCCATGAGGATATGGGCTGGCACTGCTGGCTTGAGGAGCCCTGTTCCAAACCCGCTACGTTGAAAAGTCAGCCTCTATCTCCACACTTGGGCTCTCTCTCTCGAAAACCAGCATCGTGCTGGACTCGGGACGGGCAGACACCCTTATTCTGGTCATTTGCTACTCCCCACCCAGCTTTGTGCGTGGGAAAGGTGCAGGGTTAAATAGCAGTGGCTGGAGCTTATCCCAAAGCTGAAGCGCTGGCACCGTGGGGGAAGCAACGGAGCAGCCCGTTCCCATGCAAGTGCCGGAGCCTCCAACCTACGGAGCGGGTTCTGGACACAGGGCAGCCCACGGGCTTCAGCACCACTTCTTTTTGTGGGAGGCAAGCGCAGGTAACGCGCTATGGAAGTGGTTGGAGCTTCAGCCCTTGAATGGCCCTGAGAGCTCTCTCCCGCTGTGCCATCGCCCCTGGAAAAGCAGCAGTAGGGGAAGATGGGATCCACACTAAGAAACTCTGCTGCCAAGTGCAGCACTGGCATACGGAGCAAGAGAGATCAACAACCTCACACAGGATTGCAACCCTAAAACTGTAACCCTGGTGTAATCCCTGCTGCCGGCTGTGAGAACCCAAGGCACGAGGAAGGAGCAGCTCTCATGTCACCAAACAGCAGAAACCCGGAGCTGCAAGCTGCCCAACCCGAGCCTAACCACAGGGATTTGTGCTTTCCAACTAGGAATATCCTGTCCCAACTCAGCAACAGTGTCTGCTAACAGATGGATTAAAAACGTTGACATCCTTTCATTTTTTTTTCCCTAGTACTGTTTATACGAAGGACTTATCCTAGTATGTTTTTCCCTTACATGAGCTCTTGGAAGGTGCTGGGTGAAAAGGGACTTTTTCCTCTTAATCCAATTCCTTCCTAAAGCCCGCTGCACTGGGGAAAAGAGAACTCTCCAGAGAGCCACAAAAAGGACACTAACTTAAACAATATTTTTGGAGGTCTTAAAATGATGTCCCATTCTTTCACTCTGTAGGTCTTCAATCACTTTTATTACTTTTGTTTGTTTTTTCTTCCTCTCTCCTGTTGTTGAGCAACAGATGTACATAAAAGGGAAAGGGAGAACATGACTCTTTGCAGGACGCTGCCCAGTGCGCCATGAAAGGAACCGAGGTTTAAAACTCCAAACTTTGGGGGGTTTAAAATACAAAACACATCAATTGCACAGGCTACTTCTTCCATTTGTTGGTACTACTAATTCTCTTTCTTCCCTATGGATAGAAGCCTAATTCTTGGAGCCGGCTGCGTCCACGTGACCTGGACCCCCCAAACCTCTCTGGGCAGAGCAAACCCCACGAGCAGAGGCTGGGGGGAGCACCCCAAAATCGGGTTGCTCTCGGGCAGCCCAGCCCGTGGGCGCTTCCCTGCCCTGCTGCCAGGACCCCTTCACGCCGGGTGCCCCCTCAGCCGCCTCCTTCCCGCTAAGCCCCACTGAGGACGCCCTGCAAACAGGAGCGACGGGCGCACACGCTACGGGTGCCCCCGACCGGCCGGGATAAACCCTTCCTCCTTTGCTTCCCCCTCATCCCAAGGGTCTCCTGGCTCAGAGGGCGCCTAGAGAGCGGACGTGACCGGAGAGGGAAGGAGGGAGAAGACGGAGGGAGGAGGCGGAGGCAGGCGGGCACACGTTCTCACCTGAGGCTGCCGTAGCGTTTGTAGGGGTGGAAGCTGCAGCTTGATTCCGGGCATGAGCAGGGATGAGGATCGAAGCCAGAGATGGGTTACTTGACAGTTCTGGAGGGGAGGGGGAACAAACAGAGTTATGAGCTCGTCCTTCACCCAGAACCCGTCCGTGCCGGAGACGTTTAAGCCCGGCTTTCCTCACCACCGCGGCCGGGGGCTGCGCTGCGTTTCCTTCTGCGCCTACGAGCACGAGGAAACGCCGGGGCATCTGGCAAGGACGTCGCCAGAGCAAGACTGTCAAAACTGCCCGCAGTGACACGTGGGAATTAATTCCTAGGAGGAAAGCAGCTTGGGAGCTGGCAAAGAACTGATGGAGCCGCTTCCTTGGAAAGGGCCTGCAAAAAAGCACCATTTCCTTCCCCAACCCACCAGCCCAGAGGAGGCGGCAGCTGCCACAGCTGCTCCAGGGATACAGGCCTGGATCCCTCAAGCTGCCCTCTCCGTGGGCCCAGGAAGCGGAGCCTGGCTGGCGGGCAGCCTCCTCGAGGCCGAGGAGAGGTGGCACCTCCTTCAGGAGCACAGGGAACGGCCGAGGCCGTGGGGTGGCAGCTTGGCTGGGCAATCTGTCCGGATCACAAAGTAACCCAACCGTTCTTGTGCGGGGCGAGGGCTGGAGAAGCCAGCCCTGTGTCTCAGCCCCAAGGGCAGCTCCGGGGTGCACAAGGAGCAGGCGCCTCCCTGGAGCGCGCGGAGCTGTACACGACACTGCGCGGAGCGCACAGTCCACGCCGGTTTTGTGGATTCCTCCCTAAAAGCCTGTCGCTTTTCTTGAACGCGAGCTTTAAATCCAGGGCCTGCAAGCATCACTTGGCTATTTGGTGATGTTTTCCTCCTGCAAGTTGGCTTTAGACGTATGGAAAAGAACTGCTGGGAAGGCAAGGCGGGGACGGCCCTCGCTTGCTTAAGAGTCCCGTATTGTTATGTATTAATATGTATTTTGAGACTGCGTTACACTGCGTTCACGTCTAAGCACACCTAGTCCTTCCAGGAAACCTCAATTTTACAGAAAATCCCCCTGGAGAGGCACAACCCCTCCAAAGGCAGAGCTGAGCCACGTCTGTCGTTTAGTGCTGGTTCTGTCCTAGCTGCTCTGTACCAGAAACGTTGCTCCTTTAATATGTTCTCCAAAGCCGTTTCTCGGATCTATAAAGGAAAACCTGCTGCTTACCTCATCCTGTCCTTTAGCTTACTATCCACATGGCAACATGGGAGCAGTGCCAAAAAAAAAAAAAAAAAAAAGCAGAGCTGACTGTTGAGGAAAGAAAATAGTGCTTGTTGCCACTGGTGCTAAGCTATATATATGTATATATCCTGGCTGCAGCACTGGCACAGCAGCCAGACTCCTGGGGTCACAGAAGCACCTGCTCTGTCAGGACACGTCGCTGCAGTGACACTCGCAATCTGCTTTGGTCGCCCCTGTGTTCTCTTATCACGCTGCCAGAATTATCTCCTTCCACAGCCCCAGCCTGGCAGAGACGGGGCCTTTTGTTGTTGCTGCTTTTAAGGCAAGCACCAGCTTTCCTCTGAAGCTGCCGTAAGGAATGTGGACAGGCACGGCAAGGCCGACGCCGTTCGCCTCCTCGCAAAGCTCACGCTTCCTTGCTAGGATGGTCCTTAAATTCAGGGTGCTCTGGGCGATTCCTTCAGAGGGGCAGACAAGAAATAACATAACCAAAGCAAATGGAGCTCTTCTGCCTGATATTTCGTTAGAGTTCTCCTTTCAGATTTGCTTGGATTTTTGGCTCTTTGTGGCTATCACGCGTGGGAGGATGACCGTAGTGCTGAGGAGCAGGCCTGGCCTCCGGTATCCGCAGCCCACGGGGAGCGGTGACCACCGTTCTCCCTAACTTTCGCCCCAATATTTGAACAACCGGCTGAGCCGTGGCCTGCTTGTCAAAACACACCTAAAATTCCAGGTTGTGCCAATAGCACTGGTATTTCAGAGCCTGTTCCCAATGCCGGGATGAGAACACAGCAGCCGCCCCAAGCCCGGGGACTAGAGCGCATTCCCGCTCACGTGGGAGCTGGGAAAACAGCTTCGGCTTTCTCCTGGCCCGGGGATTGCAGCCAATTTACAGCTGCAGGAAGGAGCGGGAATCAAACGCTGTGCTTTTAATGGGACACCAGGTTATCTTCCTTTCATCCCCCTAAAGCAGGGCAACACTTTGCCTTGAGAAACAGCTCGTTGCTCGTTTTCAGCATCATCCCGTTGGACGTTTCAATACTCCCAGCACCCACTCGCAGAATTAGTTTCGTAGCGTGTTTGCTTTGGCAAAACAAGCAGCTTTCCACGTAACTGAAATTACTGCAGCAGTTTCTCTGCAACCTAAGAGTGTGCTGGAATCAGCACAAATTTCATACTTTTCCTTTCTTGCCCACTCCATTTGCTCTAAGCAGAAATATTCTGCTAAAACACAAAAACATGCTGGACAGCAATCAAATAGTCACACTAACAATTTCTCTCAGAGTAAAAAAGGTTAGAAATGAAAGTATTATGGCTAAAAAAAAATTATTTTTTTATTGATTAACCCCCCCCACCACCACCAACTAAAAGGTGTTTGCCATCAAGCATCACAGCGTCCAATTCTAAGTGCTGAATCACAGAAGAGTTTCAGGGTCACTAAGGGCTAATGTGGCACAGCCGTGACATTTTGGGGCCCAGCACAATTACTGACCTGCTACAAGACATTTAGTAAATGGCAGACATTTCACAGAGCGTTTGAAAATGTAGCTTCTAAGAGCAAATTGCTTTCTGCTCAGCTGAGGTCTACAAGTCAGTGAAATGCAGCACTCTGGCTACTAGAGATACCCTTTGTGGGGGAAAAAATGCTTTGTTCAAACCCCAGTCTGCACATGAAGTTGGTGTAAATATTAATAGAAGTTTACCAGCAACAAAGAGAATGAGCAGGCATCTGCATGTCCCAAGACGACTGCTGGCAATCAATCAAAAAGCATTATCTTTATTTTGTATATATTCTCATTGTACTTTTTCCAGGCTCCATCTGAACGGCATCACTGCCCAGATCAGCAGGTCTGACATGACAGGTTATTTCTGCAAATGAGTCTAATATATTAACGATCAGATTTCTGTATTGTTTCTAACAATTTTGCCTTCCAGCCTCCTGCAGCTTCCTTGTACTCCGTGGATTTCAGAGAACTGGATACAGCCAAGTAAAACATTGTGAAATTTCATTCTGCCTGATAAAAACAAAATGCCCTTCCAAACAGGGCACCTGCCCTCACTTTCCAAATTACCAAGACGCTGTTATTGTCACCTCTGACTTCCAGTGACCTGATCCCATTGCAATTTCTGCACTGGACGGGCAAATCGAACAGGCATCTGTGCAATGAGGCTTACGTGCTCAGGTTAGGGACAAGAAGGTCCTTGCATATCCTGCGGTGATCATAAAGGTGTTCAAATCGTCGGGCTGAGCACTTAATTCTATTTTGGTTGTTTGATTTTAAAAGTTCCATCTTTCTTTTTTTTTTTTTTTTTTTTTTTTTTTTGAGTTTGGTTAGTGACCTACAACAGTGTTTATTTCCAAATTCATTAATGACCAGCCTCGGTCCTGCTTTCCCTTTTTAGGTACTAAAACTGGCAGCTACTAATAACAGGCACCTTCTTGAATTTTATGGAACTTCTTCGTCTGGAACCAGTTTCCCTTGCCACCCCCGTAACTCAGTGTGCAAGAGGAGAGCCCTCTGGGTGGATGTCTGACAACGCTTCATTGAGAGTTGGCTGAAAGATGACAAATCAGCAGCTACAAATTTGCCTGAGGATGAGGGTAGCTTATCCAGCAGCCTGCACTGTCTTGAGAAATTCCCCATAAACACACATCTATTTTCCTCTATGAAGTTTTAAAAGAGCTCACTGGAGAGCTTTCAAGCCTTAAACAAAGAAATAAACAAAACCCCTTGCTTTCATGTAGAAGATGGGCCTAATACTAAGATCATTAAAAATTACTGAAACTAAATATGCTTAAAAGAACAGGGAATGACGGGAATATTAACATATTGGGATCAAAACCACCTCCACTAATGGAAACGGCCTTAGTGTGGGGAAAAAAACCCCACAATTCCTGAGTATTATAACTGACTATTATACAATATAGTAGGACATTTAATATACCTGCTAAATTCATTCCCCTAGACATGGGGAATCAACATAGGGGCAGCGGCCACAGGCTGTTTCCACAACACCAGCAACACCTGCGAGATGCCAAGGGACCCTGTTCTGCAGGCCTGGTAAAATCCCTAACTGCTCCCTCAGCGAGGGAAGGCCCTGTGTTTGCCTTACTAGAAGTACCTTCAGGAAAAAACAAAGAACAACAAAAAACAACTAAAAAAAGAGCTTTTTGGGGTGTGCACATCCTGGAAACGTTAAACCATGTATCCATGAATATTTGCTTCCTTCAAGACAGTGATTCAAAGTAAGCTAAATGTTTGTGCTTGGGCCGTTTAAATACTATTTTATACAGAAACAGCTTAGTTACAGTTACTTTTATAGCTACTATTATTAAAGAAGCAGGCCCCATGTGCTCAAGGGCGGTGTTGTGTTTCACATCTTGGCAGATGGGCACTGCATGTACTAAAGTCTGAGAACCGAGAGCGAAGCTAACTGAACCAAAAGTTGTTCCAGACCTTCCAGCATGCATCCTCACACAAAGGGTGAGGCCTGGGAGCTAATCACTTTCTTAAAGTGCTGGGAAACTAATTACTAGCACATTTGTACATCACACTTCTTGCGTTCTCCGTCTTGGCAGGGAAAACTGTTCCAGGGGGGTATCAGCTTTGAAAGAACACAGGAATGGGTTTAAAATTTGGTATTGGCTTGGCTTCAAATAAAAATAATATACTGTTTACGATTTTTCAGTTCCTAAATTACTGAATCAATATAGTGCCAGCTGAACTGTGCAGCACATGTATGTGAATACCCAGGCTTCCTTCCTTTAGCTTACTTTCAGGGCCAAAATGGGCAGCAGCGCTGCAAACCTCCCTGCCAACCTGGCACGCGTTACTCCTTACTACGGCATTTCAGCTATGAAGGTGCAGCGTCATCTTTAAATTAATGACAAGCTAATCCCCACGGCCCAGGGCCTGTGGGATATCACCCAAAGCCACCCATCCAGGGGCTGGCTCGCAAACACCGACCTGCAGTGTGAACTCGTGCCATCGGGCAGTAGCACCTTCAGTCACTGACACCAAGTCCAAATCAAAGGCACTGCCTATGTGAAAACCCCTCAGCTCATTTCTCCCGGTTCCTTTTTGAGTTGGTTCCCGCAGCTGTGTAACATCCTTAGACCTGCCTGGAGGTTTTTACTTTTGAGGGAGTGCCGCCCGCATTACAGGGATCCCTCCCGGCTCCCAGCGCCTCTGCCCTGGGAGGAATCCTCGGCGCTCCCGGACTACCTTGAGTGGTGAAGTTGAAGAGCGCGGGTTTCTCTCGCCCGTTGGGTAACTTGACGTTTGGGTCCCGTAGTTCATCGAAGAAAGAGTGGGCGCACGCCTCCAGCGGGGTCAGGCGGGCCGTGGGGGTGTACTCCAGCAGGCGGCTACATAGCGCAATCGCTTCTGGCGGAGTGCGGGGCCGGAAGACCTGGAAAACAAGCAAGGGGAAAACAGGCTGTCTGGCTTCGTTCCTGCTCTTGGGCCACCAGAAGCAAGTCAGAGCAATTAAACCTCTCGCTGCCCAGCCAAGTGGGAACAACCCGGTGTTTGTAATCAAAGGTGTCCAGTGAGGATGGGGAAATCCAGCTCCGGGAGCGGGCGGGTGGGGGTGAGGGGGTCGAGAAAGGGTTAATTGCAAAGTCTTGCGCTTGGGTGAAGGTGCAATGCCAGCAAGAGGACTTCATGAGAGCGCACTCGGAAAAACACGTTGGAGAACAAAGTGGGGAGGAACTCATTCAAAAACCATGACAAACACGCAGGTGCTATCAGCCATGCATATGGGGTGGAGTGACGTGGTGGGGAGAAAGGTTCGAATGAGCAGGGTTCACTGGATGCAGAAATCGAATTGGGCCCTGCTATATGTGTGTATATATGCATATATAAATATATATGTTTTTACTAGTGGATGAAGCCTTACTAACACCGACTTCAGCAGGCAGGCAAGTCAGATTGTTGCCATGGAGGCTGCTGCTCAACTTTGGAGAACAACAAGGAAAGCATGGGTGGGGTGCAGGAAACGTCTGGCTCTAATCTGCAAGTTACTCCTTCCTTGACCTTATTCTGGCAAGTCATTCCCATCAATTTATTGGGATAGCTCCTGCACATTTGGTATTTGTAAGGACAGCTGAGAGATACGTCAAGAGAACCAACTGCTTCCTCCTAACAGATTTTTTTTTTCTTTTACCTTACGTGACTGCAAAATGGGAGTTCACAGCAGTCCTTCGCTGAAGCTGCATTTCAAACCTCCACAAATAGCTCTGCACACCCCAAATCACCGCCCCAACCTTCCTCTCTCCACACGTCAAAAGCAAAAGGCAGGTTAATCACGTGCGTGACCCAGGCGGCCTCTTGGAGCACTGCACTCTCCTGTTGTTACAGGTGAAACAGGCTGGGGAAGAGGGAGTGCCGTGAGGGAGAGTGTTAAATCTCAACGTGAGCATTTTTGATTAAAAAAAAAGAGCTAAAAAGAGCTAATCCAAAACGCTTGCAGCAGCAGCGCAGGTGAGCCCAAACCACCTGGCACCAAGGAGCCGAATTAGCGCACGCCACGCTCACTAACTGCACTACGGTGAGCAGGTATTAAACCAGAAGGCACGGAGGCTCCCGCTGAAGAGATGGGAACAACGAGGCTGCTCTGTCCAGAACCTGCCGCTTCCTCCCCGTGGGGCCCGGGCGCCGCCGGGGCCCCCGAGGCAGCTCTGGGGCGGCCTGCGCTAACTCGTGTGGGGCGACGAGAGCAGGGGCCCCAGGGGCAGCGCCCGCTTCTCACAGAGGCTTGTTGGGGATGGAAACCCAGGGGAACGTTTTCCACAGGACAGGCATGGCCGTGAGGGCAGAGAAGCCCCCTGCACTCGGCGGGGCGGCCTGCACCGCCCCACACGCGCCGCCCCACTGCGAGGGGCACCCGAGCTGCCGGCTCACAGCCCGGCCACGGCAAAGCCAAGGGCTACCTCCAGGTCGAAAAAAAAAAAAAAAAAAAAAAAATATCAAAAAAAAAAAAAAAAAAAAAAAAAAAAAAAAAAGGAAATTTGTACCTCTTGGTAACTAGCGTAACCAAAAGCCTTGGGGGGAAATGCAGAAGCTCAGGCTCTTGGTTTTGACCCTGAGGTAAAGCTTTGGAGGGGCTTCCCTTAAATGTGATTGAACAGGCTTGGTTTACTAAAGCGTGGAATGAAGATGCTTTATTCTTAGGGGTGGGTTTTGCCCTGCTCAGGACAGCTCACATTTCAATCACTATGCAGATTTAAAAAAATAAATAAATAAAAAAACAAACAAATAAACAAAAACACCTTAAAAAACACCAAAGAAATGCCACAAACTTGGAAAAAAAAAAATCCTCACACCTCCTTCCCCCCACCCCACATGAGTGGTGATTAAAACACAAAGTGAGTTACCAATCTAAACCCGGCTAATCTTCATCGCCTTGTGTTAAAATCGTTCACCTGGCTGCTGCCTCAAGGATGCAACCTCAGCTCTGACTTTCCACTCCTAGGATTCCTCTCTCCTTTTGTTATTATTATTGTGGTTTTTTTTTTTTTCTCAAGGCTAGGCCTAATAGTTTGAAAAAACATTTAAGTACATACCCGTACTCCTGAGGTGAAATGTCCTGTTCCTGACGAGTCCTAAAGATGATAATGCAGTGAAATAATCCAAAGAGGGGGAGTCAATCCAAAAGAGAATAGTCCAGCAAGGAAAAATATATCCAATATTATAAGAAATCCATGGTGTGGGGGACATAGAAAATGTTTATACAATTAGAAACTTTAAACATCAGTCTCCACAGCAGCAAGTCCAACGTCACCACAGTGTATGCCAAAAAAATTGATTGTGCAATGGTGAGGCATAGTATAGAAACATTTCTCTATTAAATTTATGTTCCAATGCCAGTGCATTTACTAAAAAAATAATAAAAAAAATTGAAATCAAAACTCTAACTCGAACTAAAAGGGTAAGTGAAATCCCCCATCATAAAGAGTTTTCAGTCCTTGGTCATGGATATAAATGGGGCCAAATCAGTTTGTCTCCATAGGTGCATCCCACTTGTCAACTTTTCCCAGAGACACAATGTAAACTTTTTTTTTTTCTCCTGGAAAAAAACCAAATCCCTAACAATTTTCAATTTGTGCTGAAGAGAAAATAAAAATCCATATTTTGAATTTGGCTTTTTTTTCTTTTCTTTCTTTTTTTTTTTTTTTTTTTTTTTTTTT